GAAACGCTAGGCATCAAAAAGCTTGCCCACCATTTATCCATCGGAAAAGCGATCAGACAGTTCAGGGAGATCAGTACCAAGTATTATCAACAAAAGAGGGATAGCGACCTCCCGAAATGTCCGCCTGGTGCGACTCCGGCCATCAAGCCAGATCCTCTGAATCCCTCTGAGCCGACACCTCCTATCGTCGATAGGTCCATCCCGGAGCCGACTGCCGCGGCGATCGACGGTCCCGTCTCTGAGCCAAGTCCTGCTGAAGTCGACAGCACAGCTACGGAGGCGAGTCCTGCTATAGCCAGCAGCACAGCTACGGAGGCGAGTCCTGCTATAGTCAACAACACAGCTGCGGAGGCGAGTCCTGCTGTGCTCAATGATGCCGCTTCCGAGCCAACTCCCGGGGTGGTCAGTGGTCCCGCTTCTGAGACGGCTCCTGTTGTGACAAATTCTCCTGCCGTGGCGCCGACGCCGATGGAGGGTGTCATAAGCCAGCATGCCGCCCCTGCAGAGCAAGCGCAGGATGTTCAAATGTCCGGTATTCCTGACCAGCCACCAGAATCACCCGAGAAGCGCGTTTTGGACAGTGGCCTTCGACAAGACACTGAGGAGTTCTCGATGAACCCGGAGCGCCCTCTTAAAAAGAGGAGGATTGCTCCTACCATTGTATCGACAGCTGCCCCAGCTCAAGCGAGGACTTTTATCCTCACAGAAGGTGATATGTTCTACGACCCTTTGCTCGACATTCCATCCTCGCAGACTGGAGCTTCTTTCCGTTCGGCTACCCTTCCAACGAGCACCTTCCCTTCCGATGTCAACTTCGATCGCTTCTTGGACGCCGAGGATTCAAAGTTCACTTATCTTGATTCTTCCGCCTTGCGCTCTGAGGACATCACAAGCCTCCCGTACGACTTTGAGTCCGATGACGATGGCGATGACAATGAGGTCAGTGAGGAGTTCAACTGGGTGAGGCCTGCTGCAGTACCACCAGCGCGCGCCCTACAGGTGGCTCGAGTAATGAGAAAATTCTTCCGTAAACGCAGCCCTTCTGTGAATGAGGACGAGGAGGTCGTCTTGGACTTTGGAGAGGACGATGACAGCATGTCGGTAGATTCAGAAACATACCGAGAGTATGAAGAGGAGGAGCGAGAACAGAAAGCCCGCCAAAGCAGATACAAGCCCCAAGTGCTCAGTCCAGAGCAGGCTGAGGAGGCCATACAAGATGCTATTCAGAGACTGGAAGTCAGTTGGGAGAAGGCCAAGAAGCCTAAATTCGAACGACGGGCCTGGAAGATATGGCAAGACGCCCGGCGAAACCGTACCCGTTTGAGCCACATCACCTTCGCGAAAAACCAGCTCAGAAGCCTCGAAGTCCGACTTGGAAAAGTCAAAGAAGAGCTTCTTCGTCACAAATGGTTCAAAGAGGACAAGATTGAGGTCAAGGCTGAAGGATTCTTGGAGGAGAGTGTCTACGACAGGAAGTACCAGACCTGGCTCATTAACTTGCTCGAGAACCCTCATGAGCCGCCCAAGCCTTCGACGCTTCCCAGGCTAAAGCCAGAGCCCAAGAAGGAGAGAGAGACACTCGCCAGCGATGAAGAACTCTTAACGAGCGATTCTGAGGAGGAGGACCAGTTTATCGAGGATGATCTTTCGCCGGTAGATCACATGGTCATTGACCCAAAGGAAACTAATCCATCTACCCGCCCTAGCACGCCTGACCGCCCCTCGAACCCAACGACAGAAGAGGAGTCAACAAACCAAATACCGGAAGAAGAAGTAGATACTCCTGCTCAACTTCCTGCGGTTGATGACGAGACAGGGGTGGTAAACAAGGTTGAACCAACAACTCCTCAACGCTTGATTCATACAATCCCAGCAGAACCTATCGAAATTCTCTCCTCACCAGCCGACGTGGACCAGCTTGCCAATGTTCCTCCTCTCACTGATGTTGATGCCATCGGCGAACTTGGAACGGAGTTCTGGGCAAAGTACAGGGACGGCGAACGCCTTGTGATTGCCGCTCTCTGGAGCTGGTCACCTTTGCGGCAGTCGGAGATCTTTGATGCCGTTCAAGATCGCGGAGATAAAGAGACATGGAAAGAGCATATTCAGCCACTCATTGACCGAGCCGCTACCGGGATCTCTAGGATCGATGTCGATCCGGACTCGATCAGTCTCATTCTGGCCCTCCTGTTTCTTACTTATTCTGACTTTAGCGAAGGACGGCTGAAGGTTAGATCAAATACCCTTCGTTGCGTTACCTGCCAAAAGCTCAATCGGGAATATCCGCGGTTTGAAGAGTTTTTCAACTTCCTGCAGAATTGCATTCACTATTTCCGCCCCGGGCCCAAGTCACCCACTCCAATGGAGATGACCTCCGCTGAACCCCCGGAGGCAACTCAAGATACTCCTATGGATATCAGCGAGTCCGAGCATATGGATACAGACTTGGAGGAGCTGTCCTCCCAATTCCCTCTGTCATCTGCGAAGAAAGGCCGACGACCTAAACACGACGAAAAGGCAAAACAGCTCCGAGTCGATTCCAAGGCGTTATTGAAACAAATGGACGAACGCCGTAAACTATTGCGGGCGAAACTTGCCGAAACCGGATCAGTACCGACTGACAAGTCACGTCTCATCATCAACGAAACCAAAGAATCCGACGACCTTCCTTTGATCTATGTCCATGAGAAGATTGGAGGGAAGATTAAGGACCATCAAATAGACGGTGTCCGCTTCATGTGGGACCAGATCGTGGTTGAGTCAAACTCACGCCAGGGGTGCTTGCTTGCCCATACGATGGGCTTAGGCAAGACGATGCAAACTATCACCTTGCTGGTTGCCATTGCCGAGGCATCCCAATCCGACGACCCTCGGATAGTTGCCCAGATCCCCAAGGACCTTCGGGTTGGTAGAGCCTTGATTCTTTGCCCTTCTGGTTTGGTTGAGAACTGGATCGACGAGATCTGTATTTGGGCGCCTGAGCACATCTTGGGGAAAATCACCAAGATTGATGCGGCGACGGTGCCACCCAGCGAGCGGGTTAACAAGATCAAGGAATGGGCGCGGTCTCGAGGCGTACTGGTCATGGGCTACGAATTGTTCCGGTCTCTAGTCTCAGGAAACGAAGACAATGTGGCTGAACTGTTACACGATTCTCCATCGATTGTGATCTGCGATGAGGCTCATCGGTTCAAGAATAAGACTTCCAAGTTGTACGCTGTAGTCCAAGGTTTCCACACCATGAGCCGTATTGCCACGACGGGATCACCTCTGACCAAGAATGTAATGGATTACTATTCCATGATCAACTGGGTAGCTCCCAACTACCTGAGCGATGTGGGAGAGTTCAACCAAAAATACGCCCAGCCCATTAGCGAGGGTCTACATGCCGACAGCAGCGACTCGCAAAAGAACCTCGCCAGAGAACGCCTGCAAATTCTCAAGGCCATTGTCGCGCCGAAGGTGAACAGGAAGGACATTCAAGTCCTGGTTGACGAGCTTCCGCAGAAAAGGGAGTTCATCCTCACTATCCAGATGACAAAGGTTCAGCGAGATGCTTACAAAGAATATCTGGAGACTGCAGAGCGGAACAAGGGAAATGATCTTTATCGCAATGCCTGCGTTTGGGGTCTCATCGCCTCTCTAAAGCTGCTCTTAGCGCATCCAAAAATCTTCAAAAGCAAGATGCAGGAACGTTTAAGTACTAATCCAGCACTGGTCAAGAGGAGAAAACGCATAACAAACGATGAAGACCCAGACAGCGATGAAAATGATGAACCACTGGATTTGTCGCGGGACACGCTAAGGGATGTTCTCGCCAAGGTGTCGATTAGGGGCATCGAGGACATTGTGCATTCTACCAAAGTCATTGTGCTCTTGCAAATCATTAAGGAGTGCAAACAGATCGGCGACAAGGTACTCGTCTTTTCTCAAAGCATCCCGACCTTGGACTTCCTGCAGGATCTTTTCAAGCAGAAGAAGATCCTTTACAAACGGCTAGATGGACACACACCGGTCAGCCAACGTCAGGCCGCTACTAAGGATTTCAACACGGATAACTCACTCGATGTCTACCTGATTTCCACCAGGGCTGGTGGTGTCGGTCTCAACATTCCTGGGGCCAACCGCGTAGTCCTCTTTGACTTTGGCTTCACTCCCGCGGAAGAGCAGCAGGCTGTCGGTAGAGCATATCGGATTGGCCAAAGGAAGAAGGTATTTGTTTATCATCTCAAGGTCGGCGGTACCTACGAGACCGCCATTCACAATCTGGCTGTCTTTAAGAGGCAGTTATCGGAGCGGGTTGTGGATAAGAAGAAGCCAGTCCCCTCTTCAACCAGGATGAGAGAATACTTCATCACACCCCCTGAGAACTTGGAGCAAAAGGATCTGTCAACTGTGAAGGGCCTTGATCCAGAAGTCTTGGACAACGTCCTTGCATCCGCCGAGTGCAGCAAAATCATCCGCGAAATTGATTCAACCGAGACTTTCGAAAGGGAGGAAGTGTATGAGTTCACAGCAGAGCAACACCGGGAATTGAACAAGCAGATTGAGCTGGAAGAGCTTCGAATCAACAATCCCGAGGAGTACAGGCGGCGGATGTTAACAGTTGCGGAATTTTCGCTGCCATCTCTTCCACCAAATCTTGGTACGCCAATATCTGCGGGCGGTGAGTCCCCGTCCGCGCTGGTCAAACACGCACAACAAGACACAAATCAGCGACGTCAGCTAATCCGAATTTTAGTCCCACTTCACCTCAGAGACAAACGTAACCCGACGACACCGGGCTCAGCTCCTAGTATCCCCCCCTCTGCTGCGAACAACATTTCTGCAAGCACCCAAGCGGGTGCACCAATTCCACGAGTAGCTTCAACTGCCACAGCGAGTCAAACAGTTGCTTCATCACCATGCCCGGCTAACGGTCAAGTGGCCGCGTTGGATCCCATTCTCGGAACCAATACGCACTACAAGGTGGCCGAAGCCCCAAGAAAGCCCGATACCCTCAAAGCGCCGGAAATAATCCCCAAACCAAGGAAACCGGAGGATACTACCCCAAAACTTCTCGAGGCTCTCGGCGAAGTACACAGAAAGCTTCGGGATGAGGGTTACGACACGTCAATCCATCCACAAGATCTGGTTATGCAGATCAATTCGGAATGTGATCGCCAGGATATGGCCGCAGGAACACTCCCTAGAATGGATAAACTGCGATGCTTGTGCAAAACGGTCACTGAAAGTTCCAGGTTTGGAGAGGCTTTGCTCACAGGGTACCTCACGCCCAGCGAGGTAGTATCTATGGGCATGGCTCAGATGAAGGACAAAATCGCCGAATACAAGGCGATGACAGAGGACTTGTTCAAGTCAGAAACGTGGGCGCATCACAAGGCCAACGTAGGCAACACCACCACCAACACATCGCCCCGCGTCAAGTGGAAGACGAAGAAACCAGCAACATAACTGACAAAGAAAATCACCTAACAGCACGCCCCAGAATTGACGGCCGACGTGACCATCAAAAGTGAGAAAACGAAAATGCGACCACCTATTGCGGAACCTGAAGCTATAGACCGTATAGCAAGAAGCAGCAGCACCAGCACCAAAGCCACTCCCAGCCGAACGTCGACGGAAGATATCGAACGGAAGAAGAAGAAGGAGAAAAGGAAAAAGAAAAAGAGGAGGCTTCAACCAGGTGGCACGGCCGATATGCCCCTGGTGATTGATGACGACTGAAAGTATCGTTCACCCCATTTTCCTAGAGTCGATAACCCCCTTTTTTCGTTTTGCTCTCTTTCTCTCTCTTGAGATACCCTGTTCTTTCCCCATCTACCATTCTAGTCATTGCGTTGGCGTTCCGGAAGCAACCTCATGGATATCATCAGTGGCGGACAGAGGGACGGTCGAGGCGACATGGGCGAGTGAGCATTTTGTTGGTAAGCTCAGGGAAGGAAAAGGAAGGGAAGGGTCGCATGGCATAACATGGCATCGCAAGACACGGTTAAGGCTTGGACAGGCGTTGCATTATGAGGAGGATGGTACAGTTATAGTTACCAGAAGCATTTTATACAACGTGCATCAGGTATCTAAAGGAGCGAGCATTTTTGTTCACTTGGCGGTGATTCAGTTGGCTTGAGGATAGGACAACATGGCGTTCTTAGGAAGGAGATACCCTTACGAGCCCCAATGATATAGGCGGTGATACATGGCATACTTAGTCTATATAAAGACGTTCGGTATTCCGGTCCCGAACAATAGGCGTGGTTTACAAAACGAATCCCCGGATAATGATGTTGAGCAAAGTGACTCTTGGAGGCAATTTCCCCATACCTATCCAAAACGAGCGAAACGGAAGGATCATCAATCAGGTATCGAGTCAATTACGTGCAGACGTGCATCTGAATGGCAGCCCAGATGTACATACGCAGTAAAGAAGACAGGTGGTTGACACTTCACAGACCGACCGACCGATGAATGAGACGCAAAGGACGGCGGGTTCGCTGCCAAAGGTACCCACGTATATTACTGTATGGAGCTGTACGGAGTCATTCCGGACCCCGCTTCCGCGTGCGGGATTCCACCGGTACAGGGGCCGACAACCGTTGCAGACATGTGTCAGCCAATCAGAATGAGGCCATTTGTGAAGGATCGCATTTGAAACCAAACCTAATCCGTGGCATCCGATTGCCGAGACGACTCCGAGTCGCTGAGAGAGAAACGGCACCAACGGTTCGTTCACTTTTAGGCGTTGGTATGTATGTAATCATACGTTGAATGTTACAGAAGAAGAACAGAAACCAAAAAGAACAAGTTCTGGGTTGGGGTCATGAAGATCGAAAAAGAGAAAAAAGGATTTTATTATGTACAAACCTCGAACGATCCGGGACTCGCTGATCCGGTCCAGCCAGTTATGAATATGATCCACATGCGTCCAGAGGGACCGTGGAACATGGAGCGAGGTTGTGGTCTTGTCCCCGCTTATAGTGCCCCCTGGGAGCTGACTGGTTGGTCAATTCCAGTGTCCACGACGTTGGTGCGCTCGAAGGCTCGCCGACGGCCGAAACATGTACCCACCTATCTTTTTGCCTCAGCTTTTTTCCCGAAGAACATCTCCTTCGACTTCCTCTTCCCCCCCTCTTCTTCCTCTTTTTTCCAACCTTTCCACTCCACGCACATCCTCAGCTATTCCAGATCAACACTCCCTTCTCCATTGATCGCCTTGGCGAAACAGATTACCGAACGGCTTTGCGCATCTTCCTAGACGACCACACAAGTTGCCATCGCAAAACACCACGCCCATCATGGACTCCGTTCTTCGCCAGTCCAAGGCCGTGTGCCCCTTCATGAAGAAGGCCACAGCCTCCAGCCTCCGCGCCATGACCACCGCCGCGCGCCCTGCCGCTTCTCCTTGCGGCGGCGCCATCTCCAAGCTGCAGGTCCTCGCCCACCGCTGCCCCGTCATGGGCAAGGCCATGGCTGTTCAGTCTGCTCGCATTGGAGGCCGCGCCGGCGCTGCTCCTGCTTCCTTCGTCCAGAAGGCCAAGCTGCACACCGGTCGTCCCCGCGAGGCCCAGGCCGTCGAGGGTGTCTTCACCGGCCAGAAGGGTGAGTCACGCAGATCTTGTGCGCCGTAATACAGTATGTTGACTTTGCCCCTTGAACAGCCGGCCTTCCTCTCCATCCCCCCTTGAAGCCTACGACCGCCACCGCCGCGAACCCGTCGCCGGCCGCCTGCACTGTTTCGGGCAACCATGGAACCAAGTTCAACTATGAGAAGTTCTACGAGAACGAGCTGGAGAAGAAGCACAAGGACAAGTCGTACCGCTACTTCAACAACATCAACCGTCTGGCCAAGGAGTTCCCCCGTGCCCACATGGCCACCAAGGCGGAGAAGGTTGAAGTTTGGTGCGCCAACGACTACCTCGGCATGGGCAGTAACCAACACGTCCTCAAGGCCATGCACGACACCCTCGATGAGTACGGCGCCGGTGCTGGTGGCACAAGAAACATCTCGGGTCACAACAAGCATGCTGTCGAACTCGAGGATACTCTCGCTAAGCTCCATGCTACGGATGCTGCGCTCGTCTTCAGCTCGTGCTACGTCGCCAACGACGCGACACTGGCTACCCTCGGTAGCAAACTCCCCGACTGTGTGATTCTCTCCGACAGTCTCAACCACGCCTCCATGATCCAGGGTATCCGTCACTCTGGGGCGAAGAAGATCATTTTCAAGCACAACGATGTCGATGATCTGGAGAAGAAGCTGGCTGCCCTGCCGCTACACATTCCCAAGATCATTGCCTTCGAGTCAGTGTACAGCATGTGCGGATCCATCGGTCCCATTGAGAAGATTTGCGACTTGGCGGAGAAGTACGGTGCCATCACCTTTAACGATGAAGTCCACGCCGTCGGCATGTACGGCCCACACGGTGCCGGTGTCGCTGAGCACCTCGACTGGGAGGCCCACCAGCGCGGCGAGACCAAGGGAACCATCGCCGACCGCATCGACATCTTCACCGGCACCCTCGGCAAGGCCTATGGCTGCGTCGGTGGCTACATTGCCGGCAGCGCCAAGCTGGTCGACACCATCCGCTCGCTCGCCCCCGGCTTCATCTTCACCACCACCCTCCCGCCCGCCGTCATGGCCGGTGCCCGCGCCGCCATCGAGTACCAGATGAGCTACGACGGCGACCGCCGCCTCCAGCAGCTGCACACCCGCGCCGTCAAGGAGGCCCTCGCGGAGCGTGACATCCCCGTCATCCCCAACCCCAGCCACATCATCCCCATCCTCGTCGGCAACGCCGAGCTGGCCAAGAAGGCCTCGGACAAGCTCCTCGCCGACCACCAGATCTACGTCCAGAGCATCAACTACCCTACCGTCCCCGTCGGCCAGGAGCGTCTGCGCATCACCCCAACCCCGGGCCACACCAAGCCGTTCCGCGACCACCTCGTCGCCGCCCTCGACTCCATCTGGACCGAGCTCGGCATCAAGCGCACCAGCGACTGGGCCGCCGAGGGCGGCTTCATCGGCGTTGGCGAGGCCGGCGTCGAGCCCGAGGCTCCCCTCTGGACCGACGAGCAGCTTGGCATCGCTGATGCCGTCGCTGAGCTCCGCGCCCAGGTCTCCGACGAGAAGAAGGGTGTCACCAACCAGCTTCTTGAGAGCATTGCGCTCGAGCAGGAGCGTGAGGCGCTCAACGCTGCTGAGGAGGCTGCTGATGCTGCCAAGGCCGCTGCTGCTTCCGCTTAAGCTTTCTTCTTCTCTCATGGGTTGAGGAAGCTATAAGCAAAGCAAGCATCGTTGCTCCAGGTGACGAGGTGAACAAAGCATAGGGGAGCTCAACGGGCCCTTTTCTTGATAAGAGAAAGCATTTCACGTTCCTTGGAGCGAGCGCGCGCGGCACGGAGGAGGAAGAGTGGAGCAACGATGTCATATTTGTCCTTTTTTGTTCATATTCAGGCGATACCAACTGCCTGCCTATGTCCTGTCTACTACTATACCAATACCTTGGTGCTTTACAATTCGTTCTGTCACGCCTCCGGCGTACACAATTTTGAATACAAAATCAAAAGATTTTTTTTGGCTGGGACACCACAAAAGATGGTGTCCCGAAGAACCCGAATGGGTCAAATGCCGCTACACAATTTTTCTTGGTTCCTGATATGCTTTTTGGGTGAAATGTGATGACACTTGTGAATGTTGACACGTGTATGAAACGAATGAATAGTCTTACCGTGGAACATGTCCGTTTGCCAGATGGACGTTCTCCCATTACCTACGGGGATAGCGTCGCTGTCCTTTCGCAGGAGACATGTTTCAAGTCTACCTTGTCTTGTGATCTCAAACAAGGCGAGCAAGCACGATGAATCACCCGAGACACTGATCCGTACAAGACAAAAAAAAAAACTCATTTGAAGCAGACAGAAGCCAGAAGAGTAAGTACACACATTTTCATCCATAGACACCTAAAATGACAACCCACCATCCATAATTACAATCCTCATTACCTCCACCACTCCACTACCTCTCCTCAACCTTTTCACCAGTCCCCTCAACAGAACCCATCAAACAATTCCCATACCCAACCTGACACCCAACCTGCGCCCAGCAGTACAACAAGCCCGAGCCACATCTCCCTGCCGACCCGCAGCACTCCCCGAACCTGCTTCCCAAGCACGTCTGGCCAAAGTCGGGACCGCACTCGCCGTTGATGCTGATGGTTAAGTCGCCGTCTTTCGGGGGTGGTGTTGAAGAAGTTGTTGTTGTTGTTGTTGTTGTTGTTGTTGTTGGGTTTGTTACTGATGTAACGGAAAGAAGTTAAGGATTTGGTCAGCTCAGCTTTTCCATGCACCTAACTATAAGTGTGTTCTTCTTGCTAGATTGGTTGGGAGGAAATCATCAATGTTATGGTTCACTAAAACAGCGGATAGGAGGGGGTGGTAGGAGAACATTTGCTGAACCGGCCCCCCTTCGGATGAGAGAGGGTTGGGTTTGGCGAGCGAAGTTCACGGTATCAAGAGATGGATGATGGGGAGGGCCAGGAGAGGCCAGTAGGGAGGGGAAAAGGCCTTACTTGTTGTGGAACGAGTGCTGGTAGTGCTTGTGCTCGTGGTTGGAATGACTAGGACAGTAGATCTCGTGCGGATGCTTGTGCTAGTAGTGGAAGTGCTCGTAGTTGGTGGAACGAGGATGCCAGTGGATCGTGTCTTGATGCTTGTGCCTGTGCTTGTGCTTGTGGATGTGGTAGTTGCAAGGACTGTGGATCTCGTGGTAGTACGGATGCTGGTGGAAGTGCTCGAGGGCTTGATGCTGGTGGTTGATGTAGTAGATCTTACCGACGAGGTAGAGCTAAGCGACGGAACGGCCGGTCCGGTACGGTACCAGTTTTCCGCCGGGTCGCCCAGACACTCTCCTACTGTCACCGCACTGTATCCCTTGGAAAAAAGCGAAGTTAAGATGTGGTCCGTCAGGTTGTAAACCGTTTGTACGTGAATGTCGTGTTCGATCTGGAGAAAGCTGTCGCTAGCGGGATTGGAATCCTTAATAGCCTTATCCCAGATGTTCTTGCTCGTCTGGATCTGTTTGGCGTCGTCATGCAGATAGCCCTCGGTGTCAAGATCGAAGTAAACAGCATGGTAGCCGAGTGTTGACAAAACGTTTTGGCAGTTCTTCTCGCAGATCGAATAGGGGGGCCTAGTTGAGAGTTAGAAAATAAGGTTATAGTCGAAGATCCGTTTGAACTTACCTCATATACGTTGGGAAGAAACCAAGGATAGAGTTGAATGCAATCTCGTTCCACACCATCTGGTTCGTCATTTGAGTGTTAGTCAACTGACTGGCGTTCTCGTGGGACCAAGTATGGCTGGCAATTTGGTGGCCCTCTGCATGCATTCTCTGTGAAGAGAGTCAGTAAACTATTAGCCAAAGAGTCTTTGAGGACAAGTTATTTACCCTGATAATCGCCGGATAGGGAGTACTTGGGTCATTGATCATTCCTTTACCGATGTTGTTGCCCGTAATGAAAAAGGTGGCCTTGGCTCCATAGCTCTGTCTCCAACATCAGCTGTTATCGTCCGAAGAACACAACAAGGGAGTTCGAACCTTCAGCTTGTCGAGCAGATCATTGGTGTAGAGGTACGGTCCATCGTCGAATGTCAACGCAATGTCTCCATCGGTAACGCAATCGTAGATTCCCCCTCCGGCATAGAGGACTTTGCCCACTTTTGGCCTTGCAATTCCCGACGTGTCAGGCCCTGAAGGCTTTTGGTTCTGTGCCGGCCGTTAGTCAAGTTTTCGGTTTTGTTCTGGGCCGTAGTCATTCATACCCCGTCGCATCCTGGGCCATAGTTTATTTGGCAATCAGGAGCAGTGCAATAGTCCTCTCCCACTCCACACCATCTATCAGGGGGATGTCAGTACTCATACCCAGCAGCTTGAAGAGAGGGGAGCTAGTCGAACCCTTCAAAGGAGCAGCACTTTCCAGCTGCACAACTCCCAAGTCCCGGCCCGCATTGTTGGTCGTCCGCATCCCGCTTGCGCGGGCCAGATTTCTGCTTTAGTGTTGGCGCACGCTCACTCAAAGGAGTAGCTGCGTGCACAGGTCCCGAACGGAAAGCCTTTAGCTCGGACACAAGTTTCCTGCCTCCCAGAATCTTTGGCACATGCTGGCCGCCGCTGTTGTCATGGGCAAACGTCAAGCCAAGCGAAGTGGCTAAGAGAGCGGAAGACAGCTTCATTGTTGTAACCGGTCAGAGGATGATATCCGTCAGCGGGTATGGCATCGAGTGGCTACGTGCCAGCGCGACAAGGACAAAAAGTCAAAGCAAATAGACGAGCCGCAGAACGTGCAAAAGGGTGATGCAAAAGAAGAACCAGGTCTCATAAAGTATGGGAACAAAGACTACCGGCCGGCCTTGGGTTAACAAGTGGAAAGACGAAATATATCGCGAGTACACGCGGTAATGTTGCAGATCGGGTCAACTTTTAGATTGCATGGAGGGATGGAGGGAGCAACATAAATTAAAACCACGGATACCATCTCTCTGGGAGACGCGGCGTTGACATGGTATACAAACCACAAGGTTGCGATGTACATATTATCGTCCCTCGCATCGTAAGCTGTGCCATTGCAGTCGCGGGACCTTGTCTGGCTTCGTTCCTCTCGCTGCAGCTGCGGCAGGCGTATGAGATGCTCGTAACATGGGGTCAGTGTGCTTGAAGATGATGTGTAGTTGGAACTCGACTCGTACAAAATGCATCCTCGGAACGAGGAGGACTGGGACCCCGGCCCTATCCCGCGAAGAGTTCCTGCCGGTAGCCGACGAGGTTAAGAATATCCGCCATTCTAGAAGAACGAGCTGTTGATCCGCTGTCCCTTTCGGTAAACATGTCATTTGTGTGACAAGCCCCTGTTTCCGTGGGTGCGCCACCCAACGTGTTTGTACTTATTAAGGAGAGAAGGCATCAAGAAGCCCACGGAGGTTGAGGTTTCATTACAGAGGTAGGCAAGCATGGTGATACCAAGTCGGACATCACAACCGCGGCCACAACGTCGGAGTTGAAGAGGAGGTGCAGAGGGGTGACTTGGGGGATGAGACACGGCGCCACGGCGTAAGCATTCCGAGAAACCGGCCAAGGTAATATGGGGGTATCTGTGGGTATTCGGTGGTAATAGCAAAGATAATCCCCGAGCAGGAACAAGGCAGTCACTTGAAGGTGGCCAAGTACCTATTAATCCTCTAATCCTTTAATCCAGAGATGTTTGTTCCCCTGACTCAAATGGGAAAGCTGTAGGAATGTTTGTTCTCTCGCAAGATGAAATATGCGGGGGATCAGCCTCATGGCCGGCTGATGTTCCGGTCGCTTGCCGGCAGATCTGGGGTCCTCGAGTGCCAGGGGACTTCATTGTAAGGGGCAAACTGGGAATAACCCCAAAAAGAGGTGATGGTGCGGCAAAATGCACAACCAGGCCGAATGGAGAGGATGCCGCGCTGGAATATCGAATCGTTGTCAATATCTGAATTTCGGCTGAATTGGGGAGGACTGTGACCCGTTGATGGAGCAGCGGAAGAGAGGAACTGATGGAGGCTGGAAGGCGACAACGAAAAGGGCTTGATTGTAGTTGTCTAACGGAAGAGGAGAAACGGAAACCAGGGCAGCCTAAATACCTGGAAGGGAGTGCCGGTAATGGAACGGCCCAGTGAATGGGCAAAGCCGGTGAATGGGCGGCCCAGGGCACGGACTTCCAACAGGAACCGACAACCATGTTCTGCGAAAAGTCGGTTAGCAAACGTGATTACGACAACAAGACGAGGAAAACGTCAGCTTTGTGAGTTGCTGTTGTTGCTTTGCAGCGAAGGGACTGTAAACGAAGGCGACTGAAGCATTCGTTTAACGTAACCACAATCTGGTTTCCGGAGCCATAAGACGTTTGCTGCCTCATAGGTCTCGGGTCCTCAGCTTGGGCCAGGAAGAGAAGTACTCGACACTGTTCACTCTGAACTTTTTTGTTGCGTTCTGCTCGGAAATTGTGTCGAGTCGAAAATGGGTTTGTGAAACGAGGGAAAGCCCTAGAGGTATTGAAGGAAGTGACGAGCATATTTCTCCGCGCTTGCCGTTTCCCCCGAATGCCCTCTCTTGATCGACATCTGATGCCTACCTCTACCAGTGTCGGCAAGAGCTAACCTCCGACATGCCAGGTTAAGTACCTGTTGGCATGGAAGACTGGAAACGGAAGCTTCCACCTTCTCGAGTTCCTTCCTTTCTCAGACTCAACTCCTCCACTCCAACTGGTTCTCGTCTCGATGTTGTCCTTTTCGCATCATGATTCCATCCAGACACCCGAATAAGAATGCTGTGCAATGCGCATCGCGAGAAGGCGGATAACACATGTCTCATATGTTGGTCCTCGTTTATCGACCTTGAGCGCTTCGACCTCGTCTCTGCAACCATCCACGATGCATACATTAATTGCATGGGAAAACCTCCGTCGACCAGGGAAGCCAAGTGTCGTCGTCATCCAGGACTCAGCATCTGGCTGTGTGACTGCCGCTTTACCGGAAATAGCCCAATTGTTCTCGATCAGATCAGAGATGGTCGTCGTAGCAGCTGAGGTGGTCGGTCGATACCTCTACGGAAACTCCCATAGTCGAAGCGGTACAGCACAACACCACCACCCCATTCCGTGGTAGTAACGTGCCATGCATCAGGTACGCAAATCTACCCGTATGTTGTATCATCTCTTCTTTCCCTCGAAGAACCCTCCATAACCGTGACATTCTTGGCATCGCTGTCTTCCCAACTGCATGTCCGTGATCATACCCGGTTTTGACAGTGATCGCATCCCTTTGATTGTCGTCTTTCCAATAACATCTGTCAGGACACGCCTCTGCCTCGGAAAAAACACCCACAGGCTTCTCCATGGCCATCATCACCTGCTTCCTCACCGGGAACTTCTCTGATACGGCTCGGCTGACTTTGAGATGGACAGCGTGTAGTCGCGATGTGGCTCTATTTCAAGCCCATGCGCATGTATCGACTCCCGTGGTCTCTCCCTTCAGACTGCTGGCCTCCCGACGTGGATACATGAGTGCTAACGTCAAACCCATGAGTCTTGCGCCTGTCCCGGTATTGGATACGAAGCAAACGCTCCTGCCTGCACGTCAGTTTGCTCGTGTAGCATAAGCTGCTCTGTTACTTTGCGAATAAAAGATGGCAAGCCGGTTTAGTAGCAAGACATACGAGTCTACCGCCGTTCTTCGGAGAAAAAGAGGAATGAGGAGGCGGGTGGCGATGGGGAGAAAGGTCATCATCTTGGACGACACTTTGTCTTCTCAACATTATGGGAACGGGGCCAAGGGAAAAAGGGAAGGGAGTAAGCATTGCGCGAGTCGGAGGGAGTGCGGTCTTCCGAGGAGACAGATAGAGAATGGAACGAAGTTGGCGGATGGACGGTGAGTGAGGGCAACGCTCTCGGAAGAGCGGTTTAATGGCACTTTGACAACTTCAAAGGAAGGGAGAGTATTCTAGAGGATGGTTTTGAGCCGCTCCCCCCGCTTGCGTGCCAGAGGGTTCGAAAATGGATGCTTCCTACAACAACGAGGAATATAAGGGAGTTGGGGAGAGATGTTTCGGAATTGCATTCCGGAGATGAGGTGGTTTGCATCCAAAATGATCGGCTTTCGTACCGTGTCTTTGGTGTGCAACGTACCGTGACAGGTTCCGTGACCGGGACGGAGGGAAGGATGCGAGAACGGACGCTCTCCGGGGCCGATGTTCGGCTACAGCGCGGGATTTTGCGGGGCCAATGGCCTACCGATCCGGGGGGGAAAGAGAGCGGCTACGGGCGATGACTCCTCTGCTGCAGGGACGCTATGGGGCTGTCTTGGGACGCTGCAGGGCGACCACAAGGGTCCCCCAATTGAGCTGCAGCGATTGGTGAATGAAATTTTTATAAGTGACATCAGATCATCGACTCATCCCACTTCCAAACATTGAACTACCCCTCCATCATCCTCATCTCAGTATATCTCGAGAAGAAGAGAACCCGGTGAGCAATTCTTTGCAGAGTTTTAAAAGTAGGACCAGTGCTTACACTCGAACAGGCCAAAATGTCCAGCTACGACAAGTACCAGGTAAAACTTCTGAAGACTTTCTTCATGCGTTGATTTCGACCCCGCGATACCCTCACTTTGGCGCTGCCCCTCCTCGACCCAAACCACCACGCCTGACTCGACCCTTTCCCATGAGATCCTGAACACTCTTCTCACCCAGACCTATGCCAGCTTCAATCAACCCAGATGACACCAAGCTAACGCACCATGCCACTCAAAGACCCCCCTCGCCACGAGGTATGCGTCCCAGGAGATGATGTCCATCTTCTCGGCTCGCACCCGTGCCTCCACCTGGCGCCAACTCTGGGTCTGGCTGGCCGAGGCTGAGAAGGAGCTGGGTCTCAACATTCCCGATGAGGCCATCGAGCAGATGCGCGAGCACGTTACCGTGAGCGACAAGGCCTTCGATGTCGCCCGTGAGTACGAGAACAAGTTCCGTGTAAGTTACCCTTCAGGCATATGACAGAGATCTCTGCTAATCGATCCCCATAGCACGATGTCATGGCCCACGTCCACGCCTATGGCGAGGATGCTCCTGCTGCTGCCGGCCACATTCACTTGGGTGTAAGTGAACAACATTGCTCCCTGTATCAGTGAAGACTTGTGCGCTGACCTTGACCTCCCATCACGCAGGCCACCAGCTGCTACGGTACGCACTTCTTTACTAGTCGTTTTCAGGGAACGAACCATACTGACTAGATGAAACAGTCACCGACAACGCCGACTTGATCTTCATCCAGAAGGCTCTTGACCTCATCCTCCCCAAGCTGGCCAAGGTCATCCAGAACCTCAAGGAGTTCGCCCTCAAGTACAAGGACACTCCCACCCTTGGCTTCACCCACTACCAGCCCGCCCAGCTCATCACCATCGGCAAGCGCGCCTGCCAATGGATCCAGGAGCTCGTCATGGACCTCGAGGACATCGAGACCGTCCGCGAGCGTCTCCAGTTCCGCGGCGCCCAGGGCACCACCGGCTCGCAGGCCACCTTCCTCGAGCTCTTCGAGGGTAACGCCGACAAGATCGTCGAGCTCAACAAGATCCTCTGCCAGAAGGCCGGCTTCCCCTCCACCTACCCCATCTCCACCCAGACCTACACCCGCAAGGTCGACCTCCGCGTCGCCAACGCCGTGTGCGCCCTCGGCGCCACCGCCGAGCGCATCGCCTCGGACATCCGCCACCTGGCCAACCTGAAGGAGATGGAGGAGCCGTTCGAGAAGTCGCAGATCGGCAGCTCGGCCATGGCGTACAAGCGCAACCCCATGCGCTCCGAGCGCATCGCCGCCCTCTCCCGCAAGCTGGCCAACCTGCCCGTCAACTTCAGCAACACCTTCAAGGCGCAGTGGTTCGAGCGCACGCTCGACGACTCGGCCATCCGCCGCATGGACATCCCCGAGATGTTTCTGCTGGCCGACTCGATCCTGCTCGCGCTCGACAACGTCACCAACGGCCTGGTCGTTTATCCGTCTGTCGTCCGCGCCCGCATCGACCAGGAGCTGCCCTTCATGGCCACCGAGTCCATCCTCATGAAGCTCGCCCAGCACGGCGTCTCCCGCCAGGACGCCCACGAGGAGATCCGCGTCCTGTCCCACCAGGCCAGCGCTGTCGTCAAGCAGGAGGGCGGCAAGAACGACTTGCTCGAGCGCATCAAGAAGAACGAGTTCTTCAAGCCTGTTTGGGGCGAGATCGATGGTCTTGTTGATCCTGCCTTGTTCATTGGCAACTCCCCTAAGATTGTGGAGGATTATTGCAATGGTGAGGTTGCTGAACGCCTGAGCAGGTACCAGGAGACTTTGTCCAAGGCGGAGACTGCCCAGCTTTCTATCTAGAGTAGATAGATGGGTGGTGTGGTGTAGCTTGGCTTTTGAAGGTTCGGGTATATAAGGAAGTGGGTTTCTGGTACATAAAAAGGATTGAAATAAAATATGGCAGGTTTTCTTGATAGTATAGTAGTGAGGGATAATGATCTCAAGCTGATGATGTAAGTGTTCAAGATGCAAAACGAGAGTCCTTAAGCGTGTTTGTGAATGTCTTCGACGTACGACATTATTGACCTTAAGGAGAGGTGAAGAGAGAGGTGAAGAGAGAGGTGAAGAGAGAGGTAAAGACTACTAAAGAAATATGTGAAGATTATTAAAGAAAAAGGCAAAGAAATACTTGAGATAGAGATTTTAGGCCCGTACCCTTGTCTATTGCTTTCCGCGCTTTAAAATGTGCTACCATCTTGATACAGGAAACCTTGGGTTTCCAGCACGGGTTTCCAGCACCTTGTAGAATAGTCTAATTTAGTCATGAAGGATCTGGTTCGTGACTGCCAGACAAAGGTTCTTAGAACCTTTGTTGCCAGCCTAGTACTTAAGCTGGGCAGGGCGGCCCTGGCTTCCAGACCTTCCTCTTCTTCTTATCATCATCATCATTACTTAGAATACTACAACAGATACAACAGGCTCTACGTCCCATGGCGCCCAGTATCCAGTATTCGTCCTTTTCCCCCATCACATCTACAATCTCCAACCATCGATTATGTCGGTCGAGCTGCTCATGAACCGGGCCTAAGCGTGTCTCGGACATTGGACCGATCTTTATTCGAATACCCTTGCCCTCCTTTCTGGCGTTCGTAAACGAACCTGCTCATCCTGCTCATCGTAGTATTCAATCAGGACTGGATGTCATTTCTAAGCCATGCCTGCGTATTTCTATTGTTTCATGACACAAGGCCACGCCAGACCATTCATCTCTTCTCGCGTTGTACCTCCATCAACAACTCGAGAGATCCGTATGCCAGAGTGCGTTCATAGTCTTACGCTAAATGTTATCCAGTCGGTTTTTCTCAAAGGACGTTAAACATTGGTAGTAGATCCCATGCACATCTAATGCTTGGTAAACAAGGAGTGGTTCGAATGCTGAGAGGAAACAAGTGAGTACAAGATTTTCTGGGAGAGGCAAAGATGGGCAGAAAGTTTTCAAGAAGGGAGATGGAATTCCCGGTACGCAACAACCAAAGCAAAGAACCTCTTTTAACACGCGAAAACCTGAAAATCCTGGCAAGAGAACGCGTTGGACAAACGCCCGCAAGAAACGAGAAGAGATCATGAAAATGAAACCACCCCCTCGACTCCGAAGTCTGTGATGATTGACAGAGCTAGATCAGCTCCACACCACCCATGGTTTCACATAATCACATAGAAGAGAAAACGAAATCCTGTGATGAACTAGTCGGGTTATACCCACCAGTTTCTTCGCCACAATCCGTCTGCGCCGCCACGAAGAAATCAAACGAGGCGTCTTCGAAAAGGCCATGTGAAGGCTGAGACGTCGACGCCGTGGCAAAAGGGTTGGGATTGGACCACCCTGAAAAGTCTTGTTGCTGAGGCTGCTGAGGCTGCTGGGTTGTCGCGACACCAAGGCTTGATCCTCCCCTTGGGGTAGAAGAGGATGACGTGGGAGGTCTGGACATGTCCATGGTCTTGTGGATGTTGTTGTTGCCAAACTGGTAGTCGCCGAACATAGTTGTTGTCAGTGATCCGCCATCTTGTCGTTGTTGACTCGAGTTGTTGAACCAATTCTTGTGCGGACCACCCGAGATATCTGCCATCGTTCCTGCCGGGGCGCATCCCGCCTGTCCGGACTCACCCAGACTTCCTCGCCGAGGGTCGGTGCAGGTGCCGTAGGCGGAATCGGCGAGTGAAGTGGGGTGCTTTCGGGCGGAGAAAAGCGACGCGCTCGTTGGCGGTTGGCTGAAGTTGGGCACATCTTGGAATGAGTCGATAAGTAGCGGGGATGGACTTGTTGGAACGTGGTGGACGGTTGAGTGGGAGGGCAGGCCGAGCCCTTGCCTCTGTCTCATGAAGGTTTCCGGTGTTTCGCTCATCAAGCCATCACGATCGACATCCGTGGATTGAGAATCCATGTATCCTACTAGGCTCTCCTGATCCGAATTTGAATCCTTGGAATTGGGCATCCGAGGCGCAGAGACTAGCCCGAGACCAGATGGCACCTCGGATGCAAGATGGACGGCGCTACTGTGAACAGTACTCGCCAGTGACTCTCGCCTAGATTCCTGGGCCATCAGTGACTCCCTGAGCTGCCGGTTTTCTTCTCTGAGTAGGTGGATTTCACTCTCAAGGCTGGATCTGGAGGGAACTAACGTCCCATAGTTGGCTGGAGTGGCAGTGCCGGATACCGAATCTTGGCGAGAATGATCTCCAGCTTTGTTTGACATGTTGATCGAACCCCTTGTTCGGTGTGCTGTGTTTTCTTGCCCCGCCATATCAAGGTCTTGTGAAAGGCTGCTCTGCTCGTTATGCTGCTGGACCAATGGCGTGAAAAGATCGCGCATGATTCGCCACTTCTCCCGCTTCCCCTTAGACACCTTCTCGCATTCGAGATCCAAATGACTTTGAAACTCTAAGTGGTCAAAGAAAGGCTGCCAGCAACGGCGGCAAAGGCCAACCCGTGGGTGTAGGTAATTTTTGTCTTGGATCTCAAATGATGAGATCATGCGGATGTCCACGCTGAGGCGATGTGCCGGTCGGAGCAGATGTCGTGCTAGGGTTGAGATGTCTCGATGCGTCGTGTGGCACGGATCGGACTTGTCTCTGGTCTCCTTATTGTAAAGGTGTGGGTGTGAGTGGCGGAAGATACACGGCATAGTGCTGTCAGTGAATCCCTCGTTATCTCCGAGAACTTCTGTAGGGTTTGGCTTGACTCTCTTTCTTGATTCTTCGGCATCGCTGTTTCTCCTACGTTGGCGGCCTGGGACCCTTCTTGGTTGTTGTCTCGATGACTGAGTTTGCCTCGAGGTCTCCGAGGTATTGGTGCCATTATTGCCGCATGCTGCTGAGGTAGATGGAGCTGCCGCAGATGTTAAGACTCGCGGCACAAGATCGGAGAGCGATGGGTCAACCGGAATATCACTGATCCTGAGAGCTTGATTGCCGTGATATGTCTGATCAAATCGTTCGATCATGGTTCCGTTCCTCCGTAGACGGGTAGCAGGCGATGTCCAAGGGATAAGTTGAGGAGCATCGTGATGGTGACTTGTATCCTCATCATCGTCATCGAATATGACGGACTGGTCGGTGTCATCCTGGAATAGGGTAAAATCCTGATGATGGTTAGGGAGAGGCAGAAAGTCAGATGACTGCTTGAGAAGTGGAGTAGAAGATTCTGAGGCAACGTGCGGTCCAGGTTTTAGCCGGTAAACGGGTGCTATCGGAGAGCTATCCGCGGGCTGTTTGCCATTGGATTTGCTCCGGGTGTACAGCCATCCATGGGCCTTCTCCATGTGTTGTTTGCAGTTCGATTCTCGTTTGGACTCGTAGTCACAACCTTCGTATTCGCAGGCGTAGATGATCGGGTTAGGAGAGTGTTTATCGTTGTTGTGGCGTTCGAGTTCCTTCAGTGTTGGCCAGCCAAGCTCGGCGTACTTGCAATCAGAATGTTGGCACTTGAACGGTCGAGTGTGAGATTTGCTGTGTTTGTTCAGATCACAGGGTCTGGCGAAGACTTTGGTACAGTCCGGACAGTTGTACGGGCCAGCGGCAAGACTGCGTGCCTCAGGATTTGCGGAAGATGAAGCCATGTGAGGCAGATATGGTCGGGGCGTCTCGGGGAAAATGGTCCGTCTCATACATAAGATAATAGCCACACGGGACACTCTGAGGTGTATTAGTCCTCATACTCGAACTGAGAAGGGATGAGAAATGTCTCACAAGCAGACCTCAAGTCGACTCTGCGGGGGGATTGCTGGACCTTGATATGCTCAAACTGGTCACAACTCTCGTCGGACGAATTCTTTTAGATTCCACGTCGATGGCCAGCTTAGGCAACCACGCACTCCAAGTGGCTGGGCAGACGGTGATGCGGGGTCGAGAAAGAGCTGGAGACAACTTGGGCGTATTGTTTGACAGATGAAACACTAGTCGTGATGCCTTATGGGAATCTGTGATCGAAGTGGTAGGGGCCTGGCAGTAAATAAGTGTGAAGATGATAATGGTGAAGACGAGTCTTGGGAGGCTCTTCCAATATTGGAGTAGGACAAGCCGCAGCTAATGAGAATCGATGTTCTTTTCCCAGGTTGTTAGTGAGTAATGAAGAGGAATTGAGCGAGTGCCCAGTTGTACAAGTACGATTCCATCCATGATTCCGAGCACGGGGAGGTCGCCATCTCGGGGAGCAGACATGGTACAAGACATAAGCCGGGTTGAGGATGATGCTGCGCATTCGTTGCGCAGGAAAGAGGCTCAGCACCAAGGCAACCAACGAGGCCAATGGCTGGCGACGATGATACCATGGGAGGTTGGTATTGGATCGTGCACGGACCATGTAAACCTTGGATGTCGCAACTGGCCAATGACGACGGCGTTCGTTATTGAGTTCTCACGCATGTTGGACGTTGTCTGACTCTCGAATGGCCTAAAGCGTGATAGCGTCGCGTAGCCTGATGTGGTTGTAGGCCGCCCACCACTGGATGGTGTAGGCTCTTTCACCCCAAACCGTCAAGCCGTTTCTCGTTACCCAGCCCTACCCGTCCCCAGTTTCTCGTAAAGGATGACCGTTGACGGCACAAGCCACGGCGAAAATTCTGCAGGGTCCAAGTGCTGAACAAAGCCATGCTTCACAGTTTCGATGTCTCTTTCCCTGTAGGGAAATATAGTCTGTATTGGCAATGTAAGATTTCCCAACATTTCAAGGTGTTGACTTTTTTGACGGAGGTTCTCATCCTTATAAGCCGAGGTCTCGAGAAGCGTCGGCCAAATTAACGCTTATCGCAAAACATGTTTCCGTCCAAGCCTCATGGTTGCCCCGGGCTCAGAGTCGGGCGGTGCCGGTCGGTTGCGGGGAATGTTTCGCAGTGCGTGTGTTTCGAGTCGGTGTGGTTGGGTTCTTTTGTGAATTGGGTTTCGTGAAATGTCATCAACTGCCTCGTATGTCGTCAAACGATTGTGGTTTCGTCGATGTCGAATGATAGCTGCTTGGATTTTCCTGTGCTCGACGGTATTAGTTACATGGGTGCTGACGAAGCCTTTGATGGAAGAAGTGTGCTTACCCGAGACGCCACCGAGACCACATCGCATGCCAGCAACTTTTGTTAGCTTTCTCTGTATATGTGACCATGCGGCTGACGATGCTGTCATAATAGTCGTAGCCAAAAGACGCTTGTCTTCGAGGGCATGATCCCTCTTGCCCTGCCATCGGATGACCGTATGTGCGAACTGTCGTTTTGTTTCGAGATACTGTTTGAATCATACGGCTCGTTTGACCTCAATGATCGGCCGGGATGCTGAAGGAAGGGAAACACTGCGATGTTCGATCGTTGACGTAGAAAGGCAAGGACACTTGACCTTCCCCAACGAGCCTCAACACGCAAGTCATTCCGAGGTAGGCCAATGTTCCCATATCATCTTTCTGGTCGTGTATGTATCGAAGACGTATGTGAGCTAACTGGCAACTTGGCTCAAGAGACTCCTGTAACTTTGCTTACTATTAGACCTGTCTATAGGAAAGTTCGAGTTAGCAGTTTCATCGAAGAAAACAAAAAGACTGCAGCATAACGACTGAGATTTCTCGATAGTCCTCACCACGAAGGATGCTAGATGGTGCAAAATGCTGTCATGAACCATCTGGACAGCCTTCAACATATCAAACCGGCGGTCACAGAGGGAATATAGGGGTTCCAAGGTTCTAAATCAGAAGCAAGCAGAGGGACCGGGGAACCATGGGTCTTCCAGGGTCGAGCACGAATTTGGATATTGAAGGAGAGATCACGAAGTGGAAACACGACTCCGCCGTGCCGCTGCCGAGAGATTCGAGCATTTCGATTCGAAGCCATTTTGCGGGGTGGAAATTAAGGCTCGCCCGGACCGGACATGGTGTTGAAATGAGCACTGGGGAGACTTTTGACGGACTTGCTTTTTTCTTGTCGGGAAGCGAAGCCGCTGGGTAACATTGGCGCTGTGACATTGGGGACCGACGGGACGGGAGCCAACAACGCCAACAGAAGCCCAAGCGTCAGAAGTTTGGCACTATTGAGACTTTATTGTGACCTGGTTGGTAGATGCCTGGAAGTATGCTTCTGGTGTTGAGTGTTGAACAGTGCCCCATGTCGTGGAATCGTTCCAGAAAGATGCAGGTCGAGGATCAAGATCTTCAGTCATGCCAGAGACGAAATGTTGTTTCACTACCAAGATATAAAAAGAAGATATGGGTATGTGGTAAATAATAGGACCGAGAAAAGGGGAATAATGTCGATCGATTATGCGAGAGGCAACACTCGATGACGATAACGATTCCAGAAGCGCGCAGGTCTCGCCGTTCATCGATTTCCTGATGAGGGGAGCGCTCTCCACAAACAAAGAGGTTTATCAAACAGCCCGTCTGGTCGTGTTGTCCAGAGATCGTCAGACGAGATCCAGTGAGGCCATGTCTGGAGAAGCTCATTTGGCAAAAGATTGAGCGGTGGACAGCTTCTAACAGGACGCGGAGATGGGCAGGAGCTGGATGTGCAAATCAAATGTGGAAAGAGTCGACCAATCGTCCCCGTAGAATTGTGATCTCGCTTGCGTTTCGCCAATAGAAAGGTCATCCAACCGCGCCGAGTACTCATATAACCCGACCCCATTACTAAAGCTTCCTAACCTAAATGGATATACTAAGACCGACCCTACACTGTGAAAAATCTCTTATCCGATCCTCGCCCTCTTAATATTTTCTTTCCCCGTAGAAAAATAATTAATCGCTCGCTCGAAGTTCCCTATAGAGAAATAATATCATTCGCGTTTTTAAGTACTCTTCTTAAATATTAACGATTGTATATCCAAATACGATTGTAAACTGATTACAACCGACATCTCCTCGTTACATACGAATAGCCTGTAAATTATCTTTAATATATCTTTAAATTATTTTCGTAAAATAGTTCATAATAATATTACTAATATTAATACTTTAATTATTATTATTAGGTTCGGCTTAATTAAGTAGAATAATATAATCTTTACTAAATTATTAATAATATTTAATTTAGAATAAATAGATAGTATAGCGGCCGAATTCGATAAATTAAAGGAATTAAAAAATATAACCCCTCCTAATATATAGATACTAACCGACTTCTTAATAAATATAATTAATATATTATTAATATATTTTAAATACATCTATTATTAATTAATAATATCATAATATTAATTATATAAAGGTTAAAATTATAAGGCTAATATTTATTTTATCCAATAATATTAATTGATATTCTAATTTCGTTTAAATAATATATTATATTATAATTATTTTAAAATATTCTAAGTTTTCTATTCCTAACGTAGCCTACGTTGTAAATATTAAGGGTTTAACCGAAGTTTAAATTAAAGCCCCGTAAGACGAAGTATATAAAGTAGAGTAATCCGAAATAAATTAATAATATGTATAGGATTAATCTTTAATTAATTTATAATATTATAAATCTAATATTATATAAAGAAGAAAATACTTACTAAGGATATTTCGTCTATTTATTTAAATAATAGTATATATTGTTGTATTACTTATAAATATTTTAGTATTAAATATTATAAATATTTTGACCCGCGAATTTAATAGGCATATTAATAAAGGTTTATTACTATAATCGATAAAAAGGTTATAATTTTTTTTATTTAAAATCCGCTTCTAATAAAATAAAGTCTTTTTAATTAGGCGAATTATTAAATACGGATTTATTTTTAACTTATCCCTAAATTATTTTTTATATTATTTTAACTTAATTAAAGATAATTATTTTCTATTAATATTATTTTATTAATTAGTTAGGTATAGGCGATTAGGACGTATTAAAAAATATAGGGTTATAAAAAATCGAAATTATTATATAAATTCGTTTAATATATAAGTAAAGTAGATTTTTATTTAAAATATATTTTTAACAATTAATATTATATTTAAAATTTGTTTCCATTTAGATAATTACCAGCTATAATCGCTATTAATTAAAGTATTAGAATTCGAAGCCGGGAGAAAGAATACACTTTTTTACTAACTTCTCTAATAATTCTAATTAATATTAGTTATACGTTAAATTAATTATTCAAGGGTATTTAAGGGATTCTATACCCGATTTATTATATATTAAAAAATATATTAAAATGAATACTATATTAATAAGAAGGACGTACTATAATAAACAATTTTCTTTAATATATTTAAAGTTTATTAAAAATTTATTATTAATAAATTAAAAATTAATCATATTTAAGGCTATAGTATCATTAACATTCGCAATTATAATATTATTATTAATTGTTATATTTTAATCGATATTAAAATTATCCTATATATTATTATAATTTCTTATAGTCAATTAATATATATTTAGAGTAAGTAAATCCGGAATATATTATTAATAAATTATGGATAAATTAGAAATTAATCCGCAATTTAACAATTTTAACCCGCAACCCCTACTTTATTTAATTCTTTAATAAATATAATACCGACACTATTAATTAAATCAATACGAGTTTTAATAATATTAATAAAATTCGATTGGTAATTAAAAAGTATTGTACTCTTATTTAACCTTTAGGAATTTCGAACATTAAAATTATGATATAAGAATATTAATTAAAATACTCAGATCTAAATATTTGTATAAATTTATATATCCGGGATTTATTAGGGATGACTTATTGACTTTTCTTTTTAATAATATATTTAGAAGGTCTTTAACGATGGGATTAATTTTATAATTATTTGTTTTTTCAAAGAATAGGTAGAATTCTTTCGTAAAAGATTTATTAAATCCTTCGAATTAGATATAAATTATAAGTATTTTTCTAATATAAAGAATAAGGAGGTTATTTAGGGTTTCTATTTGAAATAATTAAAACGATGTAAATTATTGAATTATTCCGAATTTATTTTCAATAGATTTTTAATTCCGATAGCTATCCTTCTTATTCGGATTTTTATTAATACCGATTCGCCGAAGATATATACCCTTATTTTTAAAATAGTATTTGAAATCTTTAAAATCGATTATAAATATACAATTAAGTAGCGGGAATTATTTAGAAAAGGTCTTTATAGTATTACTATAAATTAAAAATTTAAAATAACTATAGGTATATTATTTTGTTTTAAAACTCTTCTATAATATATTTTTCCTAATTCCTTAATTAATTAATATAGATTTTTCAGTATATATTTTTTAAAATAGATCCTTACTCCTATAAGGTTATGTATTTCGCTCGCTATATAGTACGATTTTATTATATTTATTTTAAGCGTAGTATTAAAAGGTACGTAAAGAATAATCTTTAATTTCGTTAATAGATAGAAGGATTATTTATATATTCAACCCTTAATAAATATACATAATTTTACTAATATGTAAAATATAAATTAAAGATTATCTATAATTGTTTTGGGATTTATTTAGGACAGATTTTAAATAGAGTTTTAATTAATTATTCTATAAATAATTCGCGGGAAGAAGTTCGGAATTATGTTTAAAATAAAAGTATTTTAACTATTTGGATTAGGTATAAT